ACCTTCTAATGTGATCCCTTTCAGAGTAGTTGGTAGTGGTGGCTGGGCCCTGTTTAGTTCTTCTGGTCTCAGAGTTGTGAAGACTGACGTTCACTTGTTCCATTAGTCCATTGACTAAAGAATTCCAAGCAGCTTCAGGCTGTCACTCTTCCTTCTTCCATACATGGAGAAACCTATAGTTGTACTTTAGATGGCAGTTTATGAGCAGCTTTCTTTCTTAACTGGGCTACTTTGGCTGGACATGGTTGGTTGTGTGTTACTAAGTCAGTTCCAATTCATAGCAACCCCAGGATAGGATTTCCAAGGCTGTAAATCTTAATGGCAGCAGGAAGCTTCATCTTTCTCCCATGGAGTGACTGGTAGATTTGAACTACTGACTTTGCACCTAGCAGCCCAACTCATAATCCACTATGCTACCAAGACTACTTTTGGCTGGGCATAGCCAGGCTCCTGTGTGGAAGAAATAGCTACAAACCACATTTCTTTTCCTTAAAATGTTTTTAAAATTGTATGATTTTTACTAAAACTGATCTTGTTCAATTGGACATATCAGGTTCTATACACTGTGCAAGATACTATTGGACAATGCTTCTGACACTTTCAGGAACACAGGAAGACTCAGGGAGCTTGTTAAAATGCACATCAAATTCAACACATCTAGGCTAGGGCCCGAGCATCCGTGTTTCTAACAAGAGCCCAGGAGATGTTGAGGCTGCCGGTATGTGGATCACACTTAGAATAGCGATGCTCGTAGGGCTTACGAATCGGGCTGTGAACCGCAAGGTCAGCAGTTCAAAACTACCAGCTGTTGCATGAGAGAAAGATGAGGCTTTCTGCTCCCATAAAGATTTATAGCCTCAGAAACTCTGTACAGGGACCAACTCCACAGCACACCACCACCATCTAAGATATCCAAATGCCAGGTTCTGTTCTTGTCTCTTGTGAATTGAAGCTTGTTCCCCCAAAAAAGGAAATGTAGATATCCTCACCCCTATACCTCTAAATGGAGTCCTGGTGTGGTGCTGTGTGCTAATGCGTCAGACTGCAAAGTTGTTTGAACTGTAAGGTCGGTGGTTCAAGTTCACCAACTGCTACTTGGAAACCCTATATAGGGTTGCTATGGGTTGGAATCAATTTTATGGCATTTAACAACAACAACATACCTGTAAATAAGAGCCCTGGGGGCACAGTGTTTAAAGCACTTGACTGCTAACCAAAAGGTTGATGGTTTGAACCCACCAGACACTCCGAGGGAGAAACATGAGGCATTCTGCTTCTGAGTCAGAATCGATTCAACGTCAATAGGTTTGGTTTACTGCTGTTGTTAAGTGCTACCAAGTCGATTCCAACCCATAATGACCCTGTATAGGGTTTCCAAGGAGCGTTGGTTTGTTGGATACCTGTAAACGTGATCCTGGTTGAAAATAGGGTTTTTCTCTTGTTATGTTAATGAATTCTGATATATCAAGTTAGAGTGGGTCCAAAATCTAATCACTTCTGAGTGATGTCTTATAAAAAGACACCAGGAAATGATCCTTCCACAAACAAAGGGATGCCTAAGATTGCCAGCAGTCACCAGAAGCTAGCAGAGAGATCCACAGAGGAAGTGACACAGCTGAGACCCTCATTTGGACTTTCAGCCTCTAGAATTTTGAGAAAATAAATTTCTGTTCTTTAAGCCAACCCACTTGAGGTATTTATTGTTGTTATTATGGCAGCACTGGGTAAGGAAGACACTATTAGGAAACTGCTAGTCTCTTTGGGTTGAAGGAGCTCTGGTAGCTTAGTGGTTACAAATTGGGCTGTGAATCGCAAGGTTAGCAGTTTGAAACTACCAGCTGTTCCGCAGGAAAAAGATGAGGCTTTCTGCTCCCGTAAAGATTTATAGCCTCAGAAACCCTGTTCAGGGTCACTATGGGTCAGAACCGACTTGATGGCACTTACCAACAACAAGAAGAAGTCTCTTTGGGTAGAAGATTGTAGTGGAGTCATCTTTTGGTCCATCCCTATTCTGGAGGGATTTGTTTTTCCCAGAGGAAATAGGTGGTGGAGAGTCAAAGGCATTTAGTGAAACTAAGAGTAAGTATGAGTTTCCCTAAGTTGCTATAACAAGTTACTCTAAAGTTGGTGGCTTGAAACCACAGAAATGTATTCGCTCACAGTTGTGGAGGCCAGAAGAAGAAAATCAAGGAAAGAAAAGAATCTTTCCTTGTTTTTCGTAGCTTCTTGTGGTTGTCAGCAATCCTTGGTGTTCTTTGACTTGTAGATTGTTGAGTTAATTCTGACCCTGTGTACAACAGAATGAAACACTGCCAGGTCCTGTGCCATTGTTGTCACCAGTGAGTCAGTAAAATCTTGTTGAGGATCTTTATCTTTTGCTGACACTCTAGTTTACCAATTATGATCTCCTTCTCCAGGGACTGGTCTCTCCTGATAACATGAGATGAAATCTCATCACCCTTTATGTCTGGCACTCCACGGTATATTCAATACTCTTCACCAGCACCATACTTCAAACACATCAATTCTTCTTCAGTCTTCCTTTTCAATGGTCCAGTAAGCATGAGTCAGAACCAACTTGATGGTACCTAACACATGAGGTCATTGAAAACATCACAGCTTAGGCAGGCCTCAGCCCTCAAAGTGATTTCTTTGCTTTTGAACACTCGAAAGAGGTCTTTTGCAGTAGATTTGCACAGAGCAGTATGTCATTTGATTTCTTGACTCCTGCTACTTCTATGAACATTGTGGTCGACCAGCTAAAATGAAATCCTCGACACTTTCAATGTTGTCTCTGTTTGCCATGATGTTGCTGATTGGTCCGGTTGTGAGGATTTTTGCTTTCATTATGTTGATACATCACTCCAATCTTTGCCTCCATCTTCACATGGCTTGCTCTCCCCTAAGTACCTGTGTTTCTATCTCCAAACTTCCCTCTTCTTATAAGGACATCAGTCATATGAGATTTAGGACCCAGCCTAATCTAGAAAAGGTGCTCTGGTAGCGTAGTGGTTAAGAATCGGGCTGAGAAGCTTAAGGTCAGCAGTTCAAAATTACCAGCTGTTATATGGGAGAAAGATAAGGCTTTCTGCAACTGTAAAGATTTACAGCCTTGGAAACCCTGTACAGGGTCGCTGTGAGTTGTAACCGACTCCATGGCACATAACAACAACAACAATCTAGGAGGGAGTCTGGGTGGTACAGTTTGTACCCTACTAGGAGCCCTGCTGTGGTGCTGTGGGTTAACGCGCCAGACTGCAAAGCCATTTGAACTGCATGGTCGGTGGTTCAGGCCCACTGGCTGCTCCTCGGAAACCCTATACAGGGTCGCTATGGGTTGGAACCGACTTGATGGCACTTAACAACAACAACAATTAAACTGGTGCCTTAGAAACCCTATACAGGGTCACTGTGAGTCAGAACTGACTCAACGGCACTTAACAACAATAACAACATTAAGCTGGTGTTGCACTGTAGGGTAAGCACTGGACTGCTAACAACAAGGTCAGTGGTTCAAACCCACCAGCCACTCCTTGGAGACCCTATTCCAGGTCACTATGAGTTGGAACTGACTTGACATATGGCACTTAACAACAAGTAACCTGAAGGGTGGCAGCTCCAACTCGGCTAGCAATATCATGGAAGAAGGGTCTGGTGATCTCCTCCTATAGAGAATACACTTAAGAAAACCCGATGCTGGCTGTATTCTGCTGGGTTGGTTCAGACTCATAATAACCTTGTACAGGATTTCCAAGACTGTAAATCTTTGTGGGAGCAGAAAGCCTCATCTTTCTTCTTGGAGCGGCTGGCGGGCTTGAACCATGGGCCTTGAGGTTCACAATCCAGTGCTTATGGTATGCAACCACTGTGCTCCCTTTCATAATGTAATTCTTTGTTTATAATTGTTTAGTTTTCATTTCATAATCATAAACATAATCCTGCAATACAGCTAGACTTGGAGGAGAATAAGGAAAATGTGGAACCCAAAGGACTGGAGTGAGAGCAAAGATTAAAGAATATTACAAGTACATTGGGGGTAGAAGGGTGGACCTCAAGCTCCATAAGGAATGGTCTTGTGGTTAAGATAAAACAAGAAATACAGATCAAAGTTACTGGAGTTTCCCACAGTCAGCAATGGGCATCTTCTAGCTGGTCGTGACATTACTAGACCCAAAATGCTTCATGGCTTCCCCTATGTTCACACCTTCTTTCACCTTGCCAAAGATCACATATTTCCATCTAACCATTCAGTCTGGGCAGTGCAGACAAAAAACTGGGCACCATTTGTATTGGGTCCGGCATTTGCATGGACAGGATGCCAGGACCCGTGTGCTTCAGGATGAAGTTCTCATCATCAAATTTCTCCCTATCAATCCCATTATGGCCTGTGAACTCACCATCGTGGCACATAAACCCAGGAATAATCCTGTGAAAGCAGGAATCTTTATTATCAAATTATTTTTCCCTAATGCTCAGAGCATGAAATCTTTCTGTCTTTGGAACTTTATCGGCTAAGAGCTCAAAGTAGACAGGGCCCAGGGATTTGCCATTGATGGAGATGTCGAAAAACATGGTGGGACTGACCATGGCTAAATCCAATAGCCTCGGATGCACATATGAATCCAGGTGAAGGAGTCTACAAAGCTGCCTCATAATATTATTATTTTACACTTACTTGACTATAATCTAGAGTAAACATAACTTTCGTATGTACTCCAGATACCAACCATTTGTGTGACTCGATTTATTGTGATATTCATAGTACTGCAGTAGTGTGAAACCAAACATGTAATATTTCGGAGTCTGCCTGTATACAATATATGTTACTTTGCAAATTGCTTGCTTGCCCAACAATATGTCACAGAGCACTTCCTTGTCAATACATACTGCCCTTCATCATTCATTTGAGTAGTTGTAGCAGGCTTTAAGGGAGTGTCCAAACTAAGACTAGAAAGAAAGTCCTGGCTATCTATTCCCACAAATCAGCCAATGGAAACACCATGGCTCACGACAGTCTGATCTACAACAGGTTATAGGAATGGCAAGGACCGGATAGCATTTTATTCCAACATGCAATGAGTTGCCATCACTTGGGGCCAGCCCAATGGCAGCTAACACCAATGACAGAATGTTCTGGATGGATTTTAATTTGAGATACAAAGTTAGCAAGATAGAACATGTAGTCCAACAAGGAGGACACCACCTTCTGTAAGCCTCCAGGGTAGAACTAGATCAGAATATCCATCAGAAGTCAGAAGGCTTCCTTAAGCCTCTGCCCTCCAGCTCACTGTACTTGGTAAGAAGAGAGATCAAGATGAAGGGCATGTGGAGAAGAAAGACAGGTGTAGTCACAGGGGAGTAAGGAAACATTTACATTGACACGAACCCAGACAGCATCTGATAACACAGAACGAAGAGCATTTCCTACTTGTTGAGAAATCCAACTCTCTAGAGGTACTCAGGATTACTCAATGGCCTCATCTCGGGGCGTTGCAGCCTACATTGGTTCTCCCTGCTAGTTAATACTTTTCTCACACAATCACCAAGACCCAGAGAATGAAAGTATCTATTATAAGCTGTCATGATATGTAGGCATTCCTCATCCAGATCCTTCTTCTCTGTTTCTCCTGCCCAGAGATGAGACTAGTTTCCAAGTACCACCTGGATTTGCCAGAGAGCTAGTTGTAAAGATTTGATGAATACATTTATCAGATGTTATCAGATTTAGGAGATTAACAACTAGGACATTCAGAACAAAGTGGAGGAAGAATGATGTTGAAAAGGTAGGTTGGGAACCACCTATGAGTGGCCAGTGTATACCGATCCAAGGAATGCGACCTTTAATTTACAGCAGAGGTGACACCCTCAAAAACCCAGAGACCAGGCAAGTAAATGAGGAAAGCAGATCGGGTGTAAGGTATTCAGGAATGGTGGGGACTGAGGTAAACTGCAAAGCTCATGCCTTGTCTAAAGACAGCGGTGCCTCTCAGTTCCAATGGATTGTTGCCATGTGAGGGTGTTGGTCTCTCAGTTTTCCAATAAAAGCACCCAATTCAGATTTTAGAGGACAGTCTTAGGTTTTTAAATGCCAAATCCAAGAGCCAAACCCATTGCCTTCAAATCTATTCCACCTCATATTAACCCAGTAAGACAGGGTCAAAGTGTCTCCAAAGCTGTGGGCTAACGAGCTGGACTGCAAAGTTGGTTTGAACTACAAGGTTGGTGGTTCATGCTCACCAACCACTCCTCAGAAACCGTATACAGGGTAGGCAGAGCTCGGAACCAACTTGACGGCACTTAATAACAACAACAAACTTTACGGAAGCATACTGCCACATCTTTCTCCAAGGAATCACTGGTGGATTACAAATGCCGACCTTCTGATTAGCAGTTGAGTGCTTAACTCAACTTTTAGGTGAGTGCTTAACTCAACTGCTAACCAGAAGGTTGGCATTTGGAACCTACCAGTGATTCCTGGGAGAAAGATGCGGCAGTATGCTTCCTTCTGTAACTCTCTGTGCTAGCAAGCCTACTTTAAAAACACAGCATAGGCCAACTCTAACTTGTTTTCCAACCAGATGTGGTCCACAGGCCATCAGTCTGTCAGCCTGGAAAGGTTTTTAAAGGGGAAGAGGGATGCAACTGTATTTGTGCTTCAGAGATACAACAGTATTATGTGGGAGTCGAGTGGCAGGGAATAGACAAGAGGAAGAGAAGCCAGTTAGGGGACCATTTTGACGGTCTAGGTGGGAGACCTGGTGGACTTGTGACAGCAGATGCTGTGGGCAATCCTGTCATTCTGACTTGAAGTCTAAAATTTAGGGGGAAGAAAACTCCCTCTGTTTTGAAAAAGGATTCGAGCTTTTGAATTTAGTTTTAATTAGGACCTGGACTACAGACTTGCATTCTTTTCTTTCACCCTCAGCCCCTTTTGCTAAAGTGGAACTGAGATACACAGGACAGACAGACAGTCCCCACAGCCAAAGACAGAACAGTTCAGCAAGACTCCAGTTGCATTTTGTCTTTACCTTTGTTGATGCTGACTCATCGAGTTCATGCCAACTCATAGTGGTCCTGTGTAAACAGTAGAACTGTCCCCATAGGGTTTCCCAGGCTGTAATCTTTAGGAAAAGGAACCTTGGTGGCACAGTAAAGTGCTTGGTGGCTGACTGAAAGGTGAGTGGTTCAAACCCACTGGCCGCTCCACGGAAGATGTGGCAGTCTACTTCTGTGAAGATTACAGCCTGGGAAACCGTATGGGGCAGTTCTACCCTGTCCTATAGGTAGCTATGAGTTGGTGGTGGCTTCAGTTTTGGTTAATTTTTCCAGAAAGGAGTCCCAATGTTTTAGTGGTTAGCTGCTCAGCTGCTAACCTTGAGGTCTGTGGTTTGAATCCACCAGCTGCTCTGTGGGACACAGATGTGGCAGTTGGTCTTGGAGCTCCTACAGGGCAGTGCTACCCTGTCCTATAGGCTCATAATAAGTGGAAGTGGACAGGACAGCAATGAGTCATCACGCCAGAAGATCGCCAGGTCCTTCTTCCCACGAGCTGCTGGTGGGTTTGAATCTCCAACCTTTAGGTCACCCATCAAGTGCTTAACCACAGTGCATCACCAGGGCCCCTCAGACTAATTTTATCTCTGATTCGTCCCAAGACAGACTCCTGGACCAAACTCCCCAAGTCCTCTCCCCTCCCCTCACACCACCACGGCCACAAATGGGCTCAGCACAGAATTAAAAATGTAAAATTTAGATCTTGGGGTTGGGCTCTTTGGAAGAGTCAGCTGGAAATTTAGAGCCAAGGCCACTTTTGCAAACATACCAGCTCTGCTTCCCGGCAGAGGGAGGATCTGGTCATTTTGTGGATACAAGCACTTGAGACAGAGGGTTTCAGAGCCATTTCATGGTGTTGGGGGTTGTGCAACTGGTCACTTCAGGTCCTGGGATTCACAGGAGGATAAGAAGGGCATGGAGAAGCTGGGCAGGGGAGAGAAGATGGCTCTCCTCAGCCTTTGTCTAACACCCAACAACAGGCTCTGTCTGCAGCCCCTTCCCAGGGCTTTGCTGTTCCCACTCATAGCCACACTGTATAGGGTTTCTGAGGAGCAGCTGGTGAGTTTGAACCGCCGACCTTGCTGTCCAAACCTTTATTTTTAGGCATGGTGTATGGTGGGTGCAGGAAATGTCTGGGCACAAAGCCTCATATCTGGCACCACTTGGGAGCTCCCTGAGGTTCTGGGGACAGAACCAGGCAGTCAGGCAAAGGTTAGGGGGAGGGACGACGAGGGCAGGGGCCCAGAACGACTCCAGGAAATGTTTGTATTTCTCCACCAGGAGGGACCGACAGGACAACAAACAAGCTTTTTTCATGCTTTCTGGGCAGCTTTGCAAAACTCTCCAGCTCAGAGCAAGCCTTTGGAGAAAACTCAAAGCAGGCAAGAGAAAAGACATTCTGGGGTTGTACCTACCAGCTCCTTGCAGCATGAAATTCACCAGTCTGACCCCCTGCTTCCCAGAAGCAATCTCCAGGGTGGCACTGAATGAGTTTTGGGTCCTGGCCACGCTATGTCCTTCCTTGGTCCGCCGGTCTGCCTGCTGGTAATCCGGGTTCCAGAGAAAAAACTTCACTGGCTCTTGTTTCCTGGCTGATGCATCTGTTCCCTGGGCAGTGGCAGGTCTACATAGTGCCTGCAACCCAGCGTGATGGAATTGGAGACCCGGTGGCTGGGTGAGTGATAATATTCAAATAAGTATCCTGCCTTTGTGACAGTTCCTGGGGGGCCTGACTGCCCTGCGCAGGAAGTGCTGGCTCTGGTTCCACGATGGACAACGGCTCCTGCTGTCTGATCGAGGGGAACCCCATCTCCCAAGTGATGCCCCCGCTGCTCATCCTGGCCTTCGTGCTGGGCGCCGTGGGTAACGGCATCGCCCTGTGTGGTTTCTGCTTTCATATGAAGACGTGGAAGCCCAGCACCATTTACCTGTTCAACCTGGCTGTGGCTGACTTCCTCCTCATGATCTGCCTGCCCTTTCGGACAGACTATTACCTGCGACACAGGCGCTGGATCTTCGAGGACATCCCCTGCCGGGTGGTGCTCTTTATGTTGGCCATGAACAGGGCTGGGAGCATTGTCTTCCTCACCGTGGTGGCAGTGGACCGGTATTTCAAAGTGGTCCAGCCCCACCACATGGTGAACAGCATCTCCAACCGGACGGCCGCGGGCCTGGTCTGTGCACTCTGGGCCATAGTCATCCTGGGAACGGTGTACCTGCTGACAGAGAACCACCTGTGTGTGCAGGAGAAGGCCATCTCGTGTGAGAGCTTCATCATGGAGTCAGCTAACGGCTGGCACGACATCATGTTCCAGCTGGAGTTCTTTCTGCCCCTCGGCATCATCCTCTTCTGCTCCTTCAAGATCGTGTGGAGCCTGAAGCAGAGGCGGCAGCTGGCCAGGCAGAAGCGGATGAAGAAGGCCACGCGGTTCATCGTGGTGGTGACTGCTGTGTTTATCACCTGCTACCTGCCCAGTGTGTCGGCCAGGCTGTACTTCTTGTGGACTGTGTCCTCCAGCGCCTGTGACCCATCTGTCCACGTAGTCCTCCACATTACCCTCAGCTTCACCTACATGAACAGTATGTTAGATCCCCTGGTGTATTATTTTTCAAGTCCGTCATTCCCTAAATTCTACACTCAACTCAAAAACCGCAGTTTGAGACCCAAGCGTCCAGGGCACTCCAAGACCACTCCGAGACCAGAAGAGATGCCCATTTCGAATCTCTGTCGTAAGAATTGCATCAGAGTGGCAAGTAGCTTTCAAAGCCAATCCAACGTCCAGTGGGATCTCCAACTGTGTTGAGTGGCATGAAAAGAAATAAACAAGCAAGTCAAGGGAACTGACTAGAAACATAAAAAGAATTCCAGTTAAGGGGTGAGGGGACCTTGAAAACCCACCCTTTTCTGTGTTCTCGCTGAGGAGGAAACACAATTCACCTTGCCATACCTTTTTGGAAGCTTCCAGTTGAATGAAGAATGTGAATTGTTTTTTTATGGTCTTATTACTGTTGACAGGGAAAGTATGTTTGTGTAATGAGGTCTGTGTGTTGGGGGTGGGGGTCAGGAATTGTTTGATCCCTGTGTAATGTTAAACGACTGAGTAAATAGGTACGAATGTTGAGATGGGTTATGTTCTCTTTCCTGGGGAGCCAATGAGCTTAAGGATTCATTAGTACTTCCTCAGACCTTAGATGTTACTTCTCTTGGAAAATCCAAAACAGACTAAATCAAACTATTTTTTAAAAATTATTTATTGTGTTGTTGCTGTCCAGAAGATCTACAGCAAAACATACTAATGCAATAGCTTCTGCATGCTCAATTCCAGGCGTGCAAACACTAGCGCCTCCTTTTCTGAGTGATTCCTCCCCCTGTGAACGTTCACTATCTCCTAGGGCTTCTGTCTGCAGTCTTTCAAGTTGCTGGGGTCAGTTTGATCCCATCTAGATCAATCTTGAAAGAGCACACTGTTTACTGGTTAAGCTAAGTTGTCCCAGGCTGAGTGAGGGTCTTATGATGGAAAATTCTGATGATTTACACCTTCTTGGGGGCCCCATGGGCACATTTCTTTGTCATTTGTTTTGTCTTCCTGGGGAGTCTGTGACAGGAGGAGGATGTATAGTCCGCTGTGACCTTCGTCCAGCAGCACTTTTTTTGCAGATCTTTTGCTTTTCTGAGAAGGTGCTGAGAGATGTTTACCTGCCCTGATTTTTCCAGTGTGAGCTGAGTGCTTGAAAACAAAACTCTGTTGTTGTTTCGGACATGCTGAGTCTAACAAAATTGCTCTGACTGCTTGTTCTGTGATGTGAGTGGGTTTCATTCATTCATTTCCCAACTATTCACTGAGTTTCTGTTCTGGGCCAGACACCGTGCTAGTGTCCCTTGCACCTGGAGGACCATCAGTCAACTCTTGGTGACCGCAGTGTTTTGGAGGAACAAAGAGAGAGGTGAAGGTCTTTCTCCCTTTCGTAGAATTTTGTTTCTAAATCTGTTCTCTGCCAACATCAGTGTCTTCCTCTTATTCTTAATTCTGGGCAGGACTCCCTACAAATATGTACTTGGGGTGGAGTTGTTGTTGTTGTTGTTGTTGTTATGTGCCGTGGAGTCGGATCCGACTCATGGCGACCCTGTACAGGGTTTCCGAGGCTGTAAATCTTTACGGGAGCAGAAAGCCTCATCTTTCTCCTGCAGAACAGCTGGTAGTTTCTAACTGCTGACCATGAGATTAGCAGCCCGATTTGTAACTACTACGCTACCAGAGCTCCGGGGTGGAGTAGGGGGCTCAAATTGACTAGAAGTTTCTATGAAATCACAGTTCCTATGATGAATTAGGAGTTCCTGGATAGTGCAAATATATTGTTAATGCTGTCAGCTGCTAACTGAAAGCGACCCACCCAGAGTTGCTTTGGAAGAAAGACCTGGCAATCTGCTTCCAAAAGGCCACACCCTTGAACAAATAACAACAACCCCAAACCCACTGCCATGGATGGAGTTCATTCTGATTCATGATGAATCCATGTGTGCAGAGTAGAACTGTGCTCCATACGGTTTCCTAGGCTGGAAACAGACTGCCTTATTTTTCTCCCATGGAGTGGCTGGTGAGTTCAAACCGCTGACCTTTTGTTGAACAGCTCGATACTTAACCTACTGTGCCACTAGTACTCCTTAGCAGCAACCATAACCCTGAATTAAGAGAAAAGATTCAACATTCACTCCATTAGCAAGCCATAAAGCTGTCAGAATAGTTCTTGACTCCTTTATCTCCACTTCCTCAAATTCCCAGGGCAGCCTCTGCATGCAAGCTTTTAGTGCTTTGGCCCCAAATACCCCTATGTACCAAAACACTCAAACCCACTGCCGCTGAGTTGATTCTAACTCCCAGAGACCTATATAGAGTTTCAGAGACTAAATCTTTGCAGGAGCAGAAAGCTTCATTTTCCTCCTTTAGAGTGGCTGGTGGGTTTGAACTGCTGGCCTTGTGGTTAGTAGCCAAGCACTTTAACCCACAGCGCCACCAGGGCTTCTTCAAATGCGCCTATTGTGTCCTTTCTGGAGGCCCAGCCCAGCCTTCGGATTAGAAAGAAATAAGGGCTATAGATCATCAGATACTTTGAAGCTTGTTGTTTAGCTGAACCACTTAGTAGATGCGTGCTTGCTGTTGCCAAGTGCCGTTATTAAGTGCTGTTGCCCCGGTTCTGACTCATAGTGACCCTTTATAGGGCTTTCAAACAGAGGTTGGTGGGTTTGAACCATTGGCCTTGAGGTTAGCAGTCCAGTTCTTATCCTACAGCGTCACACCAGGACACCTAGTAGATGTGTGTATTTGGGGCAAATTTCATTGATCCACTCTTAGCTTCTGTTTCCTGGTCTATCAAACAGTGGTGGGGGACAACGAAGCCAGTCTCCACAGGTCACTAGGGGGGTTTGAAAATATTAGCAAGTGGAGTGTAGAGAACTTTGTCCACTCTAATACCCTTAGGTTACTCTAGACTCTATTCTAGGCACTAAGAATGTAAGCGTGAACAAAGTTCTCTATCTGCAGTGTCTGGGAGCATGGTGGCACCACATGATAAACACTGGATTGTAAACCATAGGTTTACGGTTCAGCCTGCCAGCCACTCCACGGGAGAAAAGATGAGGCTTTCTGCTCACAAAGATTGAAAGCCTCAGAAACCCTACATAGGATCACTATGAGTCAGAACCGATTTCATGGTGCTTAGACTCCACTGCAATTAACAACTATAACAACAGAACAGGATCTGGCACAGAATAAGTGCCCAACCAATGTGTGTTGCAGGAATGAATGAATGAGTACAACATGCAAAGCATTAAGCGCAGTGCTCTGGACAGCATCTGATTTATCCTGGTATATTTACCCTGACCACATTTCATACACAGAACAACTGAGGCATGCAAGCTGTTTCTCTGGAAGTTGCTCCGTTATCACCGCCCGAGCCTCCCTGTTCCCCAGCTGCCTGGGGAAAGGAGGACTATTATCAGTGTTCAAGGACTATGTATACTCTGATAGAAATCTGTGAAGACCCACACTTCTGCTTTTAAAGCTATTCTTAATTATAATTCTTTCTGGGACTCTTCCTTTGTTGCTACATATTAATAAAGATGGTTTCCCAAAAGGAAGTCTGTGTCCCATGTGTGACACTATATTGAAAAGCTGACTTGTATGTTGCCTTCTTGGCAGGGGAAAGGTCTATAATGTCCAGAAGCTCATGGCAGACATGTGAGCAGAAATTCTCACTGAAAACAGGAATAACAAACCAGAACCCAAAGACAGAGAGGGAAAGGAAAAGAGAAAGAACAAATACCAGACAGAGAAAGCCAGAGAGAAAGTGACCGAGAAAGGTCAGACAAAAAACAAAAGGGTTGATGCTAAATTTGCTTCCCTTTTTAAATTGTGCAGACTATAACAAAAAAGAAATCAAGACAAAGTCTTCAGAAATTGCAAGGGGAAATGGTATAGCTTTGTAGACAAGTGTTTAAACTACCAGGAATAAAAAACACATGCACTACCATTGAGTTGATTCTGATTCGAACAGAGTAGAACTGCCCCGTGGGGTTTCCAAAGCTGTGGTGGGTTTGAACCATGGCCCTTTTGGTTAGCAGCCCAACTGTGCTACCAGTGCTCCTCTACCAGGAATTAGAACACCTAATACTTAGAAGAAAACATTTCCCCCTTTTTTTCCCCCAGGATCTTTCATAAAGGAAAAGACCAATAAAAGCAAGATAAAATATTAAACTAGGTCGTCTACAAGGATTGTGTGAGAAAATAAGAAGGTACCTTTTATTGATGCTGACGGGGCTTAGAAATGTAGTTTCTGATCTATCACAGAGTGGATTTCTTCACCCTGTAAAAACTGAGCTGATTCTATAGGTATCCAGGGTCCCTGTGTGCTTGGATGGGATCATAGCTTTCTAGGCACAGAGGAGTTAAATCAGTTATTTCTGCCGCCAGGTGGGGATTTAGTTACCTGTGATGTCTGATCTCAACTTGCTTGCTTTCTCCTCAGCTTTCATGACTCAAGACCAGACGGGAATCTACGGAAAACAGCGCTCGTGGCAAGCCCTGAAATTGTGCCCCTGTTCAGACCTCTAAGGCCTATCTTTTAGAGAACTTTACCATCCTATCAGCTCAAACAAACAAGTTGTTGTTGTTGTTAGGTGCCATCAAGTCAGTACCAACTCATAGCGATGCTCTGCACAACAGAACGAAACACTGCCCACTCCTGGGCCAACCTCACACTTGTTGCCACGCTTGAGCCCACTGATGCTGCCACTTTACCAATCCATCTCTCTGGGGGTCTTCCTCTTTTTCTCTGACCCTCCACCTTACCAAACATGTTATCTTTCTCCAGTGACTGGTCCCTCCTGACAATATGTCCAAAGTATGAGAGATGAAGTTTGGCCATCCTGGCCTCCAAGGAGCATTCTGATTCTGGCTGCACTTCTTCCAACAGATAGATCTGTTTGTTCTTTTGGAAGCCCATGGTACTTTCAATATTCTCCTCCAACATCATTACTCAAAAGTATCAATTCTTCTATGGTCTTCCTTAGTCACTGTCTAACTTTCGCATGCATATGAGGTTATTGATCCTCAAGTTAACATCTTTGCTCTTCAACACTTTAAAAAGGTCTTGTGCAGCAGATTTGCCTAATGGAATTCTTCATCTGTCTGTTAATCCTTTACTGAACACATGACAGCAAGACATGAAAATGACAGCTGTACTTCCCTTGCTTTCACAGATGAAAGTTGGTCTGCGATGGGCACCAAGTCATTGCTTTCAGTTTCTTCCCTTTCTGCACTCAGCACAGCAAGGAGAAGCAGACAGCCTCATCCTTCCCCATTGGAGAGGATGGTGGGTTTGAACCACCAGCCTTGTAGTCAGCAGCCTGGCGCTTAGCCTGAAGTGCTAACCAGGGCTTCTTGTCTTGACCCATGTTGTTATTGTTGTTCAGAACCATCGAGTTGGTTTCGACTCATAGCAACCCTGAATACGGTTTCCAAGGAGCAGCTGGTGAACATGAACTGCCAACCTTGCAGTTCAAAAACCAACCCTGCAGTCCTGTGCATTAACCCAAATGGAGACTCTCAAATGCGAAAGTGTTAGTTTTAACTTGCTGACCAATCACTCACAGTTATTGATGGAACTGCCATGGTAAATAGAAACTGCTCAGTGGTGCCCCCTTGCAGTGACGCCAAGGGCACGTGCCATACCTGCCAAATCTTAGACCCACTTCTGCTCGCGATGCCATCATCACATTAAGTGCAAAGTGGTTTCAGGACCAGCTAAATAATTTAGAAGGCCCAGTGCAAAATGAAAATGCAAGGCCCCTTGTGGAAAAATCATCAAGACTTTCAAAATGGCCACCGTAGAGCACTCAAGCAAGCACAGGACTCTCTTGAGTTTGTCCATGAAGCTGGCTCTGGATCAGATCTATAGTTATATGTGCATATATATTTTTAAGCTTCAATAGAACCATGATAGGCTGAGATGAAGTAGAATAAGGATCAGAGGGGAACTTACGTATGGGTCTAATCTACATTCAGACTTCAGTGTATTGAACTATAAAAAGATATCATGGGATGGACCAATGTTTTATTCTTTATTTCCTCTTTCATTCATTCATTTCCTCTTTGGAGTAACATTTATTAAGCACCATGTCAGAAACAGTAAAAACACAAAAACAATAGTTTCTGACCTCATGGGATCTATTGTAGACATCATAAAAAACAACATGACAATTTAGGGTAACGGTGATGAAATTGGAAACACGGGGCTCTATACGAGAATTGTAGAGTCCTTATGACAAGCCCTGATAGAGTGGGTTATGCATTGGTCTGCTAACTGCAAGGTCAGCAGTTCAAATCCACCAGCCACTCCTGAAGAGAAAGATGAGACTTTCTGCTCTTGTAAAGATTTACAGCCTCAAAAATCCTGTTCAGAGTCCATATAAGTTGGAACCAACTCTACGACACACAACAACCACAGCAAAAATTTACAGACTCTGAAATCCTAGAGAAAATCACTATGAGTTGAAATTGACTCAATGCATTGAGGTTTTCCTTTTTTGTTTACTTATGTCTAAGGATCCCTGGTAACACTGTGGTGAAGTGTGTTATCACTAACCCAAATGTTGGCTACTGGAACCCGCCATTCGGTAGAAAGCTGTGTGATTTCTTCTGTAGACACCACAGTCTCGGAAAGTCTGTGGGACACTTGGGTTGCTGTGAGTCAGAATCCATTGAAGGGCCACAGATTGGGAGGTTGGGGAAGGCTTCTTAGAGGAAATGACTGAACTTGGCCATGAGGGATGCATCCAGCAGGGTGAGTCAGAGGGGGAAGAGGGGAGAAAGAGCAATTGTTTGCAGGCAGATCAAGGGAATGAAGAATCTGCATGGGGCAGGGCAGGGGAAAGGTGAAGTTGAGGAGGAAGGTTGGAGAGGCAAGGCTCTCTTTACAAGATTCATGACTAGCCTTTCAGATTCCTTTCTTAAAGAAAGAAAAAGTCCTGATACATATTACCACATGGATGATCCCTGAAAACATCATGCTGAGTGAAACAAGTCAGTCACCAAAGGACAAACAAGTCAGTCACAAAAGGGAACCATTGTAGGTATGATCCTGCTTATATGAAATACATTGAAATAGGCAAGTGTATAAACATCAAACTCTATCGGTGGTTACCAGGGGCGCTGTGACGCTGTAAGATCAGTACTCAAATATAAGGTCGGCTTGACTCAAAAGGCTGGCAGTTCAAACTCACCAGCAGATCCTTGAAAACCCTATACAGGGTTGCCAAGAGTCCAAACCTACTTGACGGCACTAAACACCAACAACAGCAATCAGAGGTGGGAAGGTTGAAAGGGGACTCACTGCTTAGGGGAAACTGAACTTCTGCGTCAAGGGTGGTGGAAAATTTGAGTTAATGGTGACTGTTGAACAACATAATGAATGTTAATTAATGTCTCTGAACTACAAATGTGGAGGTTGTAGAAATGGTCTTTAATTATAGGTGGCACATAGACTTATGTTTGAAATTGAAATGATATACAAATACATAAAGACGTAAATGGCTCCCCGAGGGGATGACTTTTTAACCCCGAGTTGTTTACCTGCTTGCACACAAATGGTGGTGGTGCTGTGCTGTGGAGTCAGTTTCGATTCACAGCAACCCTGCATAGGGTTTCCGAGGCTGTGGATCTTTACAGAATGGCTGGTAGTGACAAACTGCTGATCTTGAGGTTAGCAGCCCAACTCATAACCACTACGCGGCCAGAGCTCCTTTTGCACACAAATAGTCTGGCTGTATTGTATAGTAACAACCATAGATACGCTCATACTAGATTTATTGTTTGGCAAAGTATTTTATCATGAATACTTTTTCAGAATATAAGGATCAAGTTCATCCTTTAAAAAAAATAGAGATTAAAAATAATTAGTCATTTCAACCCATTTTTTATGTGGATGGCTCAGTGACCTTAATTCCTCTATTTCTGTTGGCTTTGGTTTGTGTTTTTGGTGTTGTATCTAAGATTTCACACACGCCAAGGTTACAAAGACTTTCTGTCATGTTTTCTTCTATGAGTTTTATGGTTTTAGCTTTGACATTTGGGCCTCTGACCCATTCTGAGTTAGTTTTGGTGTACATTATAAATGGTGCCCATTTTCATTTTCTTCCATGTGTCCATCCACCTCTTCAAGTATCATTTATTGAAAAGATTGTCCTTTCCCCTATTGGATTCTTGGCACCCTTGTTGAAAAGCAATTGAGTGGTTGCTGGTCTCTCACTCCTGCTCCATTCTACCTTTATGCTAACGTCATATTGTGTTGATTACTGTGACTATATATTAAGTTTTAAAATCAGGAAGTGTGAGCCTCTAACTTTGTTCTTCTTTCTCAAGATTTTTAGGCTATTCTAGGTCACCCTGAGGTTTTTTACATCCAACCCAATTCTGCATGCCATACCCTAAAATACTTTTTCTTTCTAAATATTGCTGATCACAAGTACAACCAGCTTCCTCCATCCTATTTACCTCTTTAACATGCCCCTACCCCCAACCATATCATCCTACTACTACGTCAGCTTCATTAGGGTTTCAAGGTCAAGTGTCGACTTAACATCATTTATTATCTGTGGTGGCAAATCTCCCAAAATGGCCCCAACAAACTACTTTTCCTGGTACTCCCACCACTTTATAATCCCCTTCCAGTCACATATAGGCTGGCCTGTGACTTACTTTAATCAACAGAATGCAAGGGAATTGATATTTGGACCCAAGACTTAAGCACGTCTAGAAGTTTCTACTTGTGTGCTTTCTGGAAGCCCTGAGTAGCCAGCTAAGGAGCCCAGCCTATTCTGTAGAGAAAACACGGGAAGGCGCTGTCTGATGATGCCACATAGACATGCCACATGAGAGGGAGAGGAGAGAGGAATCCCAGGGTCCTGGTTCAGCCTCTAGACACCATCAGACACTCACCACACAAGTTGTTGTTGTGAAATGCTGTCAAGTTGGTTCTGATTCATAGCAACCCTGTACAGGGTTTCTGAAGAGTGGCTGGGAGATTTGAACCACTGACCTTGTGGTTCAAACTGACCTTGAAGTCGAGTACTTATGCTACGGTGACACACAGGAACCCTAAATAAAAACCACCCTGCTGAGCCCAGTCACCCTACAGAACCATGAGAGAGAATGTAACAGTGGTTTTTTTTTTAAGTCACGAAATTTTGGGGCAGTTTGTCAAATAACAATAAATAAAACATAAATCCCAGCTAAGTCTATAGTTAAGAAAAGACACAGTTAATCACTTAATTTCTTTATGCCTTGGTTTTCTGATCTGTAAAATGGGGACAATGATGAGAGAAAAAAGAGCACATATTCTCACAGAGATACTGTGAGAATTAAGTGAACTCACGTATGCGAATCTCTTTGGACAGTATCTGGCACACACACAGACGTCCATAAATGTCGGCCAGGGCTATTTTTAATAATAAATTGATAGCTCCATCCACTCGAATGGCTCCTGTTCAAGGTATAATAAGACAACCAGGCAAAGACAGTCACGCTCATTGTGAGAGTCCCACAGTCTAAATATA